AACCCTAAACCCCTAAACCCTAAACCCCTAAACCCTAAAGCCTAAACCCCAAAAACCCTTTAAATATTGGAGTAGTTTCCATTTTCTTTTCCATTATCCCCATATAGCCCCAATATCCACCCTATAGTCCCTATATAACTATATAGCCTGCAGTATCTTTAAATACTCCATGACCAGAGGTGATCCGAGCTCGAGGTTATGGCTTCGAGCCCTTTGGCGGCTTCATTTGCTCAGCCAGCCACAACCCAGGCACGTGTAGTAAACCCTACCTGGACCCCAAGAGTATGTAAAATAATGGCCCATATGGCTGTTGTTGTGGGTTTAAGGCTATTATTTTACATACTTTGGAGGTTTAGGTAAACCCTAATGTAGACCCCACATTAATACACCCACTCCTTTTAAGGATTATAATCCCCATTAAGGGGAGGGTACTAATTTAGGGTTTAGGGTTGGGGGAGCGCTTGAAGTTGCTTCCTGTAAACGGTTGATGTTGCCAAAGGCCAAGGGTCGGTTTAAGGTGGGTTATAGAGGCACCCAAGGTTACAGACTTTTGGATGCAGAGATCCAATTGAGGAAGAGGTACATGCTTCAGCGAGCTTCGGGGGTGAGACTTCCCTTCATAGCATTGTTACATGGAACTCCTAAACACCTAAACCCCAAAACCCCTAAATCCCCAAACCCTTAAAACCCCTAAATCCCAAGACCCTACCGAACAATCCCTTTTGAATCTTGAACCGGGACCGTTCGAATCCAGTTGCACTTCCCGTGCATCCCCTTGGTCCCTCCCCTGTTTCAAGAAGCCTCCACAACCATGTGGTTCCAAACGGTGGCTTAGGGTTTAGGGTTTAGGGCCTAGGCTTTTTTCCAAAGAATGTTTCTTCACCACAGATGTCCTACAGATGTGCATTGTAGTCCTCAGATGGGCCTTAAATCTATATACCGTAAAGCCTAAACACTCAGCCCAAGCAGGCGGCATCAACGATGATTTTGGCATCAAGCCTCTTGGCATAAGGCGTTGATCTTGTCGTGGGGTCAGGTTTTGGGGTTTAGGGTGAGGTGACTTGAAGCATCTGATAAGGCCTTGAAGGGGTATCTCAACATCTGGTTCATCCTTCCCATGTGCGCTCAAAGTTCCGTAGCAAAGCGAGCCAGAAATTGTGGCTTCTGCTGTCTGCAGATAGAATCTGCTACGTAGCGCGTGCGCTGAAATTCCCCTTAGTGGAACACCTCATTATCAAACCCCAAACCCAAAACCTTAAATCCTAAACCCTAAACCAAACCCGCGGTCATATCCCACGCAGTCCCTGTGGATTGAGTGAACTTCATCGTAGTTTCCCCAAAAGGCGGACCCATACATAGACCCCATAATACTTTTGGCGAGTTAAGGGTTTAGGGTTGGACTCCAATTGTCCTTATTCTAGGGACCCCCCAAAAATGTACCCATGTTTGTTGGGAACCCCGAACCCCTATGTAACCCCTATATACTCCATTTTGTAAAAACTCCCACATAGTGTTGCATGAAGCCTCACCCTTGCTTCACCGCAGTGCCCTAAGCCCTCGGCAGCATGTGGCGAAACAAACTGCCTCAACATGTGAGCTGTAGTCTAAACTCCTTAAAGTGGGTTATATAGGGGATGGGACTACTATAGGGGTTATTAAGAGGGATACTAGGAGTTTAGACTATGGCTCATGTGACACATTATTATACAACTGGCAACTGGTGGGGTGGTGCGCTCACAGTTGCCTATGATTTAGGGTTTAGGGTTTAGGGTTTAGGGTTTAGGATGGAGTGGGTTGAAGTTGGGAAGTACCATGAACTGTCTTGGTGCCTTGACCCTGCAGGCTTTTCTAGAATTATGGGTGTTTCTCTGCCGATGCGTATCGTAAAGCCCCAAGGGTTCATGTGGGTGTGTGCTACATTAGGGGGGAATGGGGGTGATGGATTTTAGATGATTATAGGGATTTTTTGGTATACAACGTAGTATACAACGTAGTATAGGAATGCATTCCCTCAGCCCGCTGCTGAGCAACCGTTCCTTACAAGCATATAAGATATTTGCCCAAAACACTCAACAACCGCCACGGGAGATTACTCTACAACTACAACCTTGGAGGGTCCAGGTCATCGTGCACCCCATATATCCCTAGAATCCTCATGTGAGCCATAATCTAGACTCCTTCAAAAGTGTGTATATAGGGGATTATGTCGGGGACTGCTGTAGGGGTTTTACGGGGGATACTAGGAGTTTGGAGTTTAGACTATGGCTCATATATCTCTAGAAATCCCTAGGTATCCCTATGTATTGCCAGATAATCCTTACCCGAAGCCCGTTGCCCAGGTACAACTGCGAGAACGGTGGCCCTGCGCCTGAGAAACTTACGAGCAAGATGCTGGAGTGGACGGGGAAGAGCCTCGTATGATGTTCGGGGTCGCCTTTTCAAATAGTTTGCAGTGCTTCTTATTCTATAACATCTTAACAGCAACAGATATGACTTGTGCTTTGCTTGTTAATATGCCAAACAGGAAGCTGTGTAGAGGCCTGAACGACGGGAATCGGTTTCCGGGAATACGGAGGCAGAGTCATGCACAGATGGAACTGACACATAGCTATCCTAGCCTTGCCACAACCTATCCGCGCATTGCACGCAGTATTACTTGGGCCGAAAGGGGTTCCAAACACTGAACACTAAACCGGATAGCTACCTGGGGGCCCACGATGGCCCAAGTAACTTTTCACTCTATAGTTAACTGGACTAGACAATGCACCCAGAGCTCCAAAGCCAAAACGCCATATCACAAGAAGGGGCTCACGAACACCCCACCCTCAACCCAGAACTCCTAAACCCAGGATCAAGGAGTACAAGAGCGTGGAAGGCCTCCCCAACCTGGATTTGCATCTGGATGTGCAGTGAGGGTTTAGGCTTCAGATTTTCTGCTGAATTGCTTGTGTATGCGTGCCTGTGTTTGTGTAAGCATGTGTGTGAGAGAGAATGGGAGGTTATGTTTGCATGACTGTACTGTAGGTAGGTAGTATAATCTAGGTATACTCAAGTTTCATCTTGGTGTGCTTTCAGCTTCTTGTGTGCGTCCGCAACTTGAGGTTCCCTTTTTGGGCCCCTGTGATAAGACGTCATTGACTTATAGCCTAGACATGTAGATCAAAATAAGCATCCATTTAGGCAATCGAATTACGTGACTTTGATAGTGAAGTCCGTGTGCTCCTCAAGAACGCCATGAAGCACACTTTTGGCGCGGGGGTTTTGGGGCTTAGGGTTTATGGCAGAACTGCTGGCGGAATTTTCCTTGAGGTCTAGGGGCTTGTGGGTTTCAGGGGGATACTAGGAGTTTAGACTACGCTGAAAACACAAGTGCGGGACATCCCCAGAATCTTGGCACTTCTTTCACAAACTCAAGGGCTTGTAGTCGCCCCCAAGTAGATAGATAATGGCATATATGGGGGTCCAAATAAGGGCATGTTGCTGGCTTTCTGAAAACGGAGAAGCTCCTTCTCAGGTCCAAGCCAGCCATCTACAAGCTGGGAGACAAAATTGTAGAGGTTTTCGATTGCGTGGAGGACGGTCAGAGCTACCGCGGCGCGCATTGGGAGTTTGGTAGTCACCATGGAGCCCGCCAACACCCTTCCCCATAGGTAGCCATGCCAACTGTTGTGAAATGATGCCGTAACAAGTTGGCATGGTCATCAATTGGGGGGGAAAGCCGGGGATTAGTTTCGAACTTGCGCCCCAAACGCTGAACCCTAACGGACCAACCGGTTCTGAGCCCCTGAAACATTGATTCAACATAGTACATCAAGGTTTTTGCGCTCAGGGGTGATACCTAAACCCCCAAAGTATGTAAAATAATAGCCCTAAACCCACAAAAACAGCCATATGGGCCATTATTTTACATACTTTTGGGGTCCAGGTAGTTCGTAGGCCTTGTTTCACCCGTAGAACCCAAGGGCGGTCCGGCGTTGGGGGTTTAGCTCCTCAGGGTTGCAAAAGGAAATAGGGGTTTCCCAAAATTAGGGGTACCTTTTTGGGGATCCCTAAAACAAAGACTATAGTATGTTGGGGTTTATATTGGGGTACCCTAATTTTGGGAAACTATCAAATAGGTTCTGGATGTTGCTTAACTTGTTGGGATCATAGCCCTAAACCCGAAATAGTAAATAGTACTTTCTGTTATCTTAAGCCATTTCCCTAAATATGCACTTAGTATGCATACATATTTACACATGTATACTTATATATATATATGTATACTGGTCATATATAGTTATCTTTTCCATTTCCCTACATCTATTTATAGTCGTCATATATAGTCAATTGAGTTTCACTTGTTTTGGCGTTGTAAGGTTTTAGCCGGCTGTAGGTGTAGGGAACTTGGCTTCGGGAGCATGCAGAAGTTTAGGGTTTAGGGTTTCGGTTCCAGGGCAGGATTGTTCCTTGGGCGGTCTCCCATTAAGTTCTAGGAACTCTTTGGACCCC